GGGCGCTGCGCTCGCCGTACCGTGTGCTGGGCTTGCTGGCGCTGGGTTTCGTGCTGTTCGAGGCTCTGAAGTACCTGGGGGTGGTGGACATGATCGTGGAGACCTGGCTCGCTTTTGTGAGCTGGATGGTGACCTGCAGGGACACGCTCATCGAGTCGTCCGAGACAATCCAGGAGTGGGTATCCTACGGGGGCGAGTGGCTGGAGTGGGCTCGGAAGCTTATGCCGCTGCGGCGCTGGGCGGCTTTGCTGCTGGCGCTCCTCCTGCTCATGATCTGGGGAGCTCACGAGATGCAGGAGGTGGAGGAGGCAGGTCACTCATCGGTGGCCTCGTCCTCTGCATCGTCGGTGGTCGGAGACGTCGGAGGGGCCGCGGTCGTGGGGCCTCCTTTGCCGCCACCTTTCGCGGCTCCGCCGCCCGTGGCGGCTGCGCCCGACGCCGCGCTCGTGGCCCAGTTGGACGACTTGGCCGAGTCTCAGAGGGCGATGGCGGCGGAGCTGAACGAGATCAGAATCGCCGAGCGGGCTCGGGAGCTGAGGCGGTCGGCAATGGTGTCATCAAGCGTGGACCGCGGTGCCGAGGTGGCAGCTGCCAACCAGCTGCAGATCCAGTCCATGCTGAGTCGGCTCGACGAGTTCGAGGCTCGCCTGCAGGGAGGTGCCGTGGCGGGATCCCCTGCGGCAGCCGCGGGACCCTCTCGTGCCACTCCTGTGGGCGCGGCGGAGGGTCCCTCGTCGCCGGCGCGCGGGGACGCAACGGTGCCGATGGAGACTCCCGACAAGAGCGCGGCCTCGGAGCCGGCCGAGGCGGTGTCCTTGGCCATCAAGCGGATGAGGTTCAAGGCCCAGATGCCGCAGCAGGTCTTCTTGGAGCAGCTGGAGGACTTCATGGAGTGTCCAGCATCCGAGTGGGCGACGAAGATGCCCGAGGGCTACAGGGAGAGGATCGCTCCGGATGTGCTCTCGGAGGTCTACTCGACTGGGAAGACGGGGGAGGCTTGGGCGAGGGACTACATCCGGGACCGCGGCCTCGCCGACTGCAACACCGCGCGGGAGATGATCGCGACCTTCGCGGCCGTGGACACCATGCTCATGACGGACCGCCAGAAGGGGCTCTTGAACCAGGTGAGCTTCGAGAGGCTGGTGCGCAAGGGTTACGCGTTGGTGAGGGCCTACCGCAACGTGCACTGCCGCGACGACTGGAGCAGGCCCAAGGACTCCAAGAGCTGGAAGTCCAAGGTCGACTGGGAGGCGGCGCGGCGCTTGGACCCGCAGCTGGCGGACGAGAGCACGATCAGAGTCATGAGTGCAGAGGAGGAGGTGAAGAAGGCAATGGGTCGAGATGCGCAGTTGATCAAGGCGCGCACGGACCTGGACGGCGGGGGTGCGAGCCCGCCGTGAGCCCCAGAGAACGCCACACGGGGCTGACTGGCGAAGGTCCGCCAGGAGCCCCTGCACGCGATCGGCCCCGTCACCGTGGCCGGTCAAGTTTTCTCGTCTACTTCTGGTTTTCGAGTCTGTGGGACTTCGGCAAGAGCGTCGGGTTCCAGCAGGTGATCTACTGCACGACGAATTGGGCTATTCATGTCGAGGAGGCGGGACATCCTGTCGGAGGTGGTGCTCATTCCACGACCGGAGAGGCCAACGTCGAGCTCACGGCGGGTGCTCTCACGCTGGCGGGAGGAGTTGGACATCGCGCAGCGGGCCAATCGGTGCTTGCTGGGACTCCGCCAGCTTTATCGTGGGACGTTGGGCGACGAGCTTTTGCATCCTGGGGAGATCTGGGGTCAGGGGCCACTGCCCAGCACCATGGACGGGGACCTCTCGAGGCGTGTGCTGGAGGAGGTACGTCGCCTACCACCGCCCCCCTCGACGCCCGAGCGAGGAGCCGCGATCTTGCGGCTGCGCCCCGCCGCTACGGCGGCGGAGAATCAATCCCGGTCGACCTATACCCAACGGTTGGCCGAGCTGCGGAGGAGGTGTGCTGGTGGACAGGTACGACTACCAGACCGGGGCGAAACGTTTCCCGCCCATTGGGAGCGGGTCGCTCTTCCCCCTCCTGGTTCAATGCCGGTGAGTGCGAGGTCTGTGTCGCCGAGAGTGGCTCAGATGCTGGACGATTTCCGGAGGGAGATGCTGAAGGAGGATGGCGAGGAGTGCGTCAGGGCCGCGGAGGTGAAGAATTACGTGGACCCGCACTTCCGCCGCAAGAAGGACATGCTGATGCTGGCCAGGCGCATGGCTCTGGCCGGGATGTTGTGCCGCTGCGAGTCGAAGGTGGACGAGGTCGGGCTCTTCTGTGTGGTGAAGAAGGCCGAGATCGTGGACGGCGAGCCCTTGGTGTCATTGCGTTTGGTGTTCGACCAGCGGCGCTCCAACTTACGATGGCGGGCGCCGCCGTGGTGTGCCATGGGCGGGGTCAGTGCTATGTCGTTTTTGGACGTGTCCGAGGAGATGACGGAGAAGGGCGCTCGAATGGTTTTTGGGACTGGCGACCTCCCCGACTTCTACTACACGTTGGACTTGGGCGAGGCGATCGCGCCCTACTTCGTGCTGCCTGGTGTCCGGGCTTCGGAGCTTCTCGACGTTCTCCCCTCGGACGCCCGCCTGAGCGGGTCGGGCGAGCACGTTGGTGTGCGTGTGGCGCTGATGGGTTTCTCTTGGGCCTGCTGGATGGCCCAGACGACTATGGAGGACCTGTTCAACTCTGGTCCCTCCATGGGCATGCCCGCCCTCGCCGAGGAGCAGCGGCTGGCAGAAGGCGGCCCGCTGCCCCTGATCAGTCGGGAGGTTCCTGCGGCCCACTACGAGTACATCGACGACTTCGGCATCATCGGGGTGGACTACCCTCCCGTCGCCGACGCCGAGCCGCCCACGCAGGTCAGGGATATCTGGTTGGGAGCCAAGTACTTGGTGAACGCCGCGGGTTTCAATGTGCACAAGGACGACTGCTCGGGGCAGGCTCGGATGATCGGTGGAGACTTCGTGGGCACACGCCTCGCCCCGAACCAGGACAAGATGTGGCTGGCCGTGGCCGGGGTGAACGAGATCCTCAGGCAGGGGTCGGAGTTCCCGGACGCGGTGGCCAAGATCGTGGGTATCCTGTCCTGGGGCTTTTTGATCACTCGAGGGGCTCTGAGCGTCTTCTCGGAGGTCTACCACTGGTGCATGGAGTTCCGAGGGGGCCCCCGCCGTCGGGTGCCCGACGAGGTCCTTCGCGAGCTGGCCGTGGCAGCGGCTGTGGTGCCGTTGGTGTCTGTCGACCTGGCCATGCCCTGGGACCCCACGGTGACGATGTTCGACGCGAGCCTCTACGGCGGGGCCATCATCTCCGCCCAGGCCGACACCCAGGAGATGCGTCGCGAGGCCCGCTTTGCTGTCAGAGGAGGGTGGACCGTCTGGACTGGCATCTCGTCTTCCTGGGCGGCGGACTCCTGGGCAGAAGGCGAGGCGTATCGGCGAGTCGCCGAGGGAGTCGAGCTCGGGATGCGCGTGAGAGCACCCCCGGTGCACGCTTGCTGGGACGACATGTCGAGGTGGAAGGAGGTGGTCCGCTGGCGCTGGGACGAGAAGGAGCACATCAACCTTCTGGAGATGAGGACGGGTTTGGCGGCGGTGAGGCATTCCGCTCGGTCGCGTGCGAGCTGGGGCCGCCGTCATCTTCGCATCACCGACTCCATGGTTTGCCTGGGCGGCTTCAGCAAGGGCAGGTCGGCCAGCAAGCCGATCCTCATCTTGTGCCGCCGGATGGCCGCGATCGACCTGGGTTGCGGCATGCTGTCGTTGGGTGCCGTCCGACCGCAACCACAGCGACGGCCCCAGCCGGGGCTTCCCGATCGGGCAGGCGCCGAAGGAGCGACTGCAGGGCGAGACCGTGCTGCCCGCCGAGACGGGTCAGGTGATCGAGGAGTTGGCGGACATCGCGGAGGAGGACCCTTTCGCGCCGCTGCGGCTGGGTCGGTCCGTGAGGGCGAAGGTGCTGCGCTTCTTGCACCTCTGCAGCGGCCACACGCGGTCGGGCGACTTGGAGTTTTGGCTCGCTCGTCTCGCGGCCAGTCGGGGGTATGTGATGCAGTGCACGAACGTGGACATCGGGTTCGGGCCGGAGTTCGACCTGTCCGAGGAGGTGAACGTGCGGAGGCTGGAGCTGCTCGCCGAGCTGGAGGTGGATGGAGGCCATGCTGGACCCTCGTGCGCTACGTGGTCGAGGGTGCGCTTCCAGCCAGGAGGACCCCCTCCTGTGCGCCTCCGCTCGCACCCGTGGGGCCGCCCCGGTCTTCATGGCGCCGACTTGAGGAAGGTGGAGATGGGCTCGGCGCAGTTGTTGAGCAGCCTGCGCGTGCTCAGGGCGATCTCCCTTCGAGGTGGCTCAGTCTCGCTGGAGCATCCTGCCGACCCGGGGAAGCCTCCGTTTCCCTCGATCTTCGCAACGCCCGAGGTGCTGGAGTGGGAGGAGGTTCTCGGTGCCTACAGGGTAACCTTTCCTCAGTGCATGTGGGGCTGCCCCGCTCTCAAGTTGACCACTATCTCGGGGACAGCCAAGCACTTGCAGCGGCTCATTCGCCCATGTATTCACAAGAACCACACGGCGAGCCTGTGCGGAAAGGACGAGACTGGCCGTTTCAGGACGCGGGTAGCTCAGGCCTACTCGTCCGAGCTCTGCCGCGTGCTGGCGGAGTGCCACCTGGACGCTATGCTGGACGGGCGCGAGCGGCGCGAGGCGGAGTTCACGGAGAGGGCCGTGGAGCTGCTGATCAAGGAGACGCTCGAGCGGAGGCGGCGCAACATACGGGACATCGACGTGCTGCCCGCCTCCTTCCTGGAGGCCTCAGGGTGACCGTCTCCGGGTCTGGCCTCGGCGTCTTGGCCTGCTGCTTCCTCCCTCGGGCTTGCCATGGGATGCCGCTCGCCGATGGTCGTCTGCGTCACCGCGCCCAGGACCGGCGGATGCACGCCACCAATCGACGAAATGAGAGTCAGAGAGCTGGATCCTCTGGCCCCATGCAGACCTCGGAGGCTGGGCTCTCGCTTCTGCCCTACTCGGTGGGCAAGAAGACGGCCCTCAACTGCTACGTGCCCAACGTGCGGCGCTTCCTAGAGTTCGCGTTGGACCTCGACCTGCCCATGATGAGCAGGGAGGAGATCGACAATTCCATCCTGGTCTACTTAGACTACCTGGTCGAGGACGAGGAGGTGGGCCCGCACAGGGGCGACTACGTGGTGCACGGCATGGCGTTCGTTTGGCCTGAGCTGTCCACGGGCCTCCCGCGCGCCAACCGGGCGTTGCGGGCGTGGCACAAGATGCACGTGGCCGGCGAGGGTGGGCCTCAGCCGCTCGAGGTGTGGGCTGCCCTGGACGAGGCCATGAGGCTGGCCGGGTCCGTGGAGGCAGCAGATGCAGCAGCGCTGGCGGTCGACGCCTACCTCCGCTCGGCTGAGGTCTTCGCGCTGCGAGTCGAGGACATCGTGGACGCCGACGACGACGTGGTGGCGATCAAGCTGGGAGTGCAGGAGCGGAACGAGCGCACCAAGACCGGAGTGAGGCAGGGCGTGCTAATCGACCGCCCGCACATCGCCGACATGCTTCGGGCGCGCAAGGCCGCCAAGAAGCCGGGCGAGCTGGTCTTCGGCTGCTCGGTGGAGGCCTACCGTCGTGCTCTTCGGAAGGCCAGCGACGACATCGGCATCGTCGCCTTCCCTGCCCACTCAGCGAGGCACTCGGGCCCCAGCCACGACGCGGCGGAGGGCTACCGGACGGTGTGGGCCATCCAGCGGCGGGGCCGCTGGGCGTCGGAGAAGTCGGTGCTGCGCTACATGAAGACGCACGCCCTGGTGGCAGCGAGGGCGGCCGTGCCCGCCGCCGTGATGGCGCGCGGCCGTGAGCTCCTGGCCAGGCAGGTGCCGCGCCCAAAGATGGCGCGAGAGTGAATGCTTTGATTCAATCGATTTTTTATGTCGGAGGCAGAATGACTACGGCTAATGTGGCAACCCCGCCCACCCAGAGCCCTGTGCCACATCATCCAGGCGCTGTGCGTATCAGCGGTGGGTTGGGATTGTGAGTCCAGAGCGAGTCCATCGCTTCGCCTGTCGCTCAGCCGGCTCGCCTCTGGATTTCTGCAAAGGAAGCCGCCGCTCTCGGCGGCGCCGTGATCATCTGTCAGGACCGAAAATCGTCCTGTCCATTGCCATTGCCTCAGGGTCCTGATTTCTTTTGGCTGGCGCCGTTCCGCTGCTCCCGTCTTGGGGTGAGGTTTTCGGTGGTGAGCCTCTAAATGTGTGTTGTATAAGATACAATGAATTTTTCGGGCCTCCACCTCTCGCCCCTTCCCCCTCCCCGACCTTTACTTTGGACATCGGGGGGGGGCGGGGAGCAGCTGAAGCGCCGTCTGTATAACGTGTTATGCATGTGTTCTCCGTCTCAAGTTCTCCCTGTTCCCTCCCTCCCCTCTTTCGTCTTCGTACCTTTCTGCCTCCTCCTCGGTGTTGGGGATTGTGAGTCCAGAGCGAGTCCATCGCTTCGCCTGTCGCTCAGCCGGCTCGCCTCTGGATTTCTGCAAAGGAAGCCGCCGCTCTCGGCGGCGCCGTGATCATCTGTCAGGACCGAAAATCGGCCTGTCCATTGCCATTGCCTCAGGGTCCTGATTTCTTTTGGCTGGCGCCGTTCCGCTGCTCCCGTCTTGGGGTGAGGTTTTCGGTGGTGAGCCTCTAAAGAGATCTTTTGGGACCTGGAGAAGTTTTACGACCACCTGCAGTGTGGTGAGATTTTCAGGCTTGCCAAAATCGCGGAGTATCCCATGGGCCCTCTTTTTTTCTGGCCACGCAGATTCACTTTAGTCCACGGGGGCTGCGAGCCGAAGGGGGCCTGAGTGAAATCATCGTTCCGTTTAACGGGTTGCTAGCTGGATGTAGCCAATCAGTTGATATCTCGCGTGTCTCACTGTGGGAAATCCTACACGATCTGCGTTCCAAGTATCGGCCGCTGCAGCTGGACACCTGGGTAGACGATATGTCCCATCGTGTGTTCGGGCACAGCCGGTTTGTCCAGGCGCGTTATGTGCAAGTTGCCTCGGCTCGAGACATGCACCGTCAGCGGCCTAGTTGTTTCAGGTAAAAGTACAATTGTTGCTAACCCGCCAGAGCTCGGAGAGAAAGTTGCAGAGGCCCCTGAGGCCAAAGGAAGTAAGCTCCAGACCTCGCAGCGAGTTAAGGATTTGGGGGTGGACGGGGCGTCGCGTCGTCGGCCGGTGGGGGCGATGAAGAAGAGACTCACAGCTGCTAGAGGTAGGGGCACCATGATTGCCCAAGTAGCTAAGGCTAACCCGCAGGCCGCTAAGCTAGGCAAAGCAGGTTTTCTTCCCCAAGCCACCTGGGGTTTTGAAGGCATGGGTTTGGCGCCGTCCACACTTCGCAAGCTCCGAGCCCAGGTGTCTGGGCTGACGGGGATTCGACGTGAAGGGGGCTGTGCCACGATCGCCATCCGTCTCGCGCTCTGGTCCAAACAGGACCCGCTAGTTTTTGGTCGTATGAAGATTTTTCAGACGCGGGTAGACATGCTACCTGCCATCGTTGCTGGCGCTCGAGCGCCGCTGAGCCTTGCCTGGAAAAAAACTGAGGAATGAGTTAAGCCAGGCCAAGTCCAGATGGGGGAGAATTAAGGGTCCCATGGGGGCC